GCCGGCGAGGGAGGAGAATCCAGCCTTGGCGTGACTGCTTTTACATAAGAAATACCTTTAAAACAACCTCAAACCCGTAATTACCCTCAAAGCCAGAAATCCAGCCCTAACCAAGATCCAGTATTTTAAGAATGAAGTCTCAGTGTGGCAGTTATTGTAGTTGAAAAAAAAAAAATCAAGATTGTGGAAAATAAGTTATTAGAACAGTCTTAGTCACATACTGTGTATTGTTCTATGTTTCTTTAATAGAACTGCTATTTAAGTAATGGAAAAGGCTAGATCACTTGGCTTCTTCCATGTTTTTAAATTTTGTTTTCATTAACGCAGGAGCTGAGCCTATGACTCTTGGCTCCCCAACATCTCCGAAGCCAGGAGCTGGTGCTCAGTTTCTTCCTGGGTTCTTGATGGGCGATTTACCTGCGCCAGTGACTCCGCAACCACGTGCCTTAAGTGGCCCTTCAGTTGGTGCAATGGAAATGAGGTCTCCGCTGCTTGCAGGTCAGAATTTGTGAAATGCTGAAAAATTGTCTTGAAAGTAAAAATTTGGTTTGTCTTACTGCTCTACACACCAGTTGCAGCCTTGAATTTGTGTAGTTTTATAACTTGCTATAAATGAACTCAACTCATTGAATAAATGGTGAACTCATGTATTCAATGGAGTTTCGCTGAATTCTTCAATGTAGGCTTAAGTTTAATAAATGTTTTAAACATGGCAGTTTTGGTACTAGGAAAGGTTGCTTTTACAAGGAAGGTAATATGAACCTCTCCTAATATAAAATCAATTTATACAGCTCTTTACAAGTCAGTTGCACATGCAGCCATCAATGTTTTCTCTTTGTTTAGAATAGAGATGGCTGCTGGCAAACTAAATGCAGCTTGTGTAAGCTGCTGATTTCTTTGCAGTGAATTCTGAAAAGTCACAGATTGTCAGGCTTCTGAAGACCGGATGGAGAAAAACTAAAAAATACTTCTTAATTAGTATTTAGTGGTTGTGTTTACAGTCTTGATGTCTGGGCTGGAGTAGTGACTCTTCCTAGCTGGAGATGCTCATCTCTCTCCGACCACCAAATTGATCCAACTAGAAAAAGTCCTTACCCATGTTTCTAAGATGGTAGTATTATCTCTGTTTTCTTCTCTGAGAAGCATGAGTGAGTAGTTAACAGCTTCGTTAACTGATTTCATGTCATGGATGATCTTGGCTTTTGTATTAAATCAGTTGGTGTGATTATAAATATCTGGTGGTGTTAGCTAGTAATTTTGAAGGAGAAATTGAGGATTAAAGTACTGCAAGATAATTTTAGATATTCTTTTAATTTCAAGCAGAATTGGACTTAATGATCCTTATGGGTCTCTTCCAACTTGACATATTCTATGATTGGCAGTCTGTTGGTCTCCCTCCTCTTGCTGTTGTCTGTCCCCCCACATACAAGCTTCTTTAGAAAATACTTATGAAATTGAAAATAGTCATGTGAATTTCATCAGTTGTTTTTAAAAGGGTTTATTGCAGCCTCAGAGTATCAATTCTAGAAAACAGGGAACCAGTAAGATACTAGCACAGGCCTCCCAAGATGAGTGATTAAGTACATCGCTTAAACTGAAAACCTCAGTGGGAGAGTGCTTTATATAGCACACTGTAAAAAAGTGCATGTAAGAAATTAATATACAGGGTTAATAAGTCTAAAAGTTTTAGATTATACTTGTGTAAGGAGGAAGTTTTTGACACACATGTGATATTCTTGTGCAGAACACTCAAACCTGAACAGTTTGGTAGGCCAGATGGTTTTGCAAACACCCAGTGAAAAAGTCAACTGCTTTTTGTGGCTGAATTTACTCTTGAAGTTTCAAGAACAAGTAGCAGTGGCGTAAAATTACAAGTTTTCTCACACTCTCCATTTGTTCCTTTTAATTTCAGGAGGATCTCCCCCACAACCAGTAGTCCCTACGCATAAAGATAAAAGTGGTGCTCCACCAGTTAGAAGCATATATGATGAATTATCTAGTCCTGGACTTGGTTCAACGCCTCTGACCTCAAGAAGACCAGTAAGTGGCTTAGGTACTGGCCTATTCTTAGGAAAAGATGTGAGTTAGCTTACTGCTATCTCCTATTGTTACTGATTTTTCTATACTGTAGAGAATGAAGAATGCAAATCCTGCCTCTGCTATGTTTTGTACATGACAAATGCAGACTTGTTGCAGTTTTTCACTTTCTTGTAAATTTATTGGGCTGATGATTGCAAGAAAGGTTGAAATATGTGTTGTGTTTTCTTTTAGCGGGCAGTAGAGGCACTTACTGAAAATAGAAGGAATTTTGTGCTGAGTAAAATACCTAACCAAAATTTGGGCAGGGAAGTAGGCTTAATTTTGAAAGAATAACAATAAAATTTCTAGAAGGTCATTCTAATAATAAACTCTGCTACCTACCTCAACTGAGCAGTCAAGCGTTAGTAGGTTCTTTTTCAGTGAACATGTTCCTTTTGATGTTAGGAGAAGGCCTTTTGCCGAAAGAGCAGTCTTTATATTGAGTGTTGCCTTCTGAAAAGTTTATTCTGAAAGTTCAAGTTCTCTGTGAAGGCCAGAATCCAATACTGTCTTAAAGGACTGGATATTTTAAAAAAAAAAAAAAAAGAGCTGCTATCAGAGTGCATGTTGCTAGGTCTACAGGTGCTCCAGTTTTGTTTCTATCTGAAAAATGCCATGATTCAGGCTAAAAATACACTAAAATTGTTTTGGATATTTAAATCCTGCTATGTTAAAAAGAAAATAAATACTAGCAGCTAAAACTCAAAGTATACTTTCCTTCAGTGCAGTTGCACTAAGTAGTTGAAGGTGTTTAGTGATGAGAAATACGAGTGGGGGTTATGCTCCCATGGTTTCTAAGCCCTTCGGATAGTGAAAATCAGATGCTGGTAACTTACGATACTGGCATCCTTTCCATCAGGATGCACATGAATGTGTGCATTACTTTACTACAGAAATAGTGAGATGCCGATTTAGAAAAAGTTAAACTGTAAGGTTTCTGAATATTGATACCTAAAGCTACTTGGTTTCACAAAGCATATGTGATTGGTGTTAGGTAGTGGATTTTTCAGTTCTGTTACCTGAAGCTCACCCTAAGCTTAAAAAGCTTTCTTCCTGTATACCAGTAGCTCTTGTTGGATCATAAAATATCATAGACAGACCCTGAATCCTGTTGCTTATGGTGCTTACCTTCTGTAGTTTGCTCCCATGCTATCTCCAATACTTGCATGTAAGCCTCTGATCAGGAAAGTTAACTGCATTCTCTTCTAAGGCTTAGTAATCAGCTGGAAATCCCAGAATGTAACAGTTGAGGCCTACTGGATGTCTAGGCTATCTGCTAGGCTGTGTGCTAGAATGTAAAATCATTGTCAAATAGCCTTTCATTAATAACTTTTAATAATCTTTTAATAAATATACATGTACATGTCTGTTCTTCCTCTTAAAAGTTAGGATTAACTCAAGGCAAAAAGTTAATATTCTTGCCTGATGCTTAAGTTACCTGAAAATTATCTCTTCTGATCTGAGAATTGTACCAGTAAGAATGATTTGTTGCTTTCTGTATTTTAATGCAGGCCAGCTTTTCTCTAACACAGAGCCCCTTGGTTGGAACTATGCCATCAACTCCTGGAACAGGTAGATGTCCTGTCAAAATATATAATCTAATTTCTTACTGCTTTCTTTAATACACAGAAATCATCACTGTTCAAGCTACATCAACTCCTTGCTAATTTGCAAAGGAGTTGCCCCTTTTTTACTAGCTTTTCAAAAGGTATGTGGATATGAATAGGAAATATTTTTTCCATTCTGACTGAATTTCAATCAACTTACTTACTCCTTATTCAAAATTTGTTGTTGAACTGAGCACAGAGGTGGTTGTACTTGAGTGAACCAGCTAGGATTGATGGGTCACCCTCCATCTTCATAAGGTTTCCTATCTTGGCTTAATTCTGCTGTCTTGTTCCTGTTTGGCTTCTGTATTATTCTGTATTTGGCTCTTGCTTTTTAGAGGCCAAGGAGAAAGCTAGGTTGATAGTCATAAAACTTATTAACATGCTTGCAGACGTGAAGTTTGGGTTGGCTTACTTTTTGTGTCTGCAAATAAATCTCCATCAAACTTCCATATACAAGTAAAATGCTTGATACTGAATTTATTCTTTTACTGTAGGCTCTTAAGCTTATGTGTCTTGCAGAAGTAATTTATTAAACAATGCCATTTCAATTTAACAGCTTCAAGTATGTTCAGTCCTGCGAGTATTGGGCAGCCTAGGAAGACTACTCTATCTCCTGCTCAGCTAGATCCTTTTTATACTCAAGGTGATTCCCTGACTTCAGAAGATCAACTTGATGACACATGGGTAACTGTATTTGGGTAAGTTGATTTCCAAAGTATTAGAAAAACCATGGGTGAAGTCTTTGCAGCATATGGAAAGAAGTACTTGGATGTTGCTGTTGTCTGGCATTCCTATGTTCTGCAGGAAATACAACTGTGATTAAAGCCAGAAAATGTGTATGTTTTAGTGAAGCACCTTAGTGTATATTTTAGTGAAGCACCTTTTTAAGATACATGTTAATTTTTTCAATTTAAAAGGGCAGCTTTCTACCATTGAGGTGTGTGGTGAACTAAAAATGCCTAGAAGATAACATTCCTTAAGTCACTGCTTCTAAAAGGGCATTAACACACTGGTCTCTTTTGGATTTCTAAAAGCCATTCATAGGGTTGTATTTTAGCACCAGCATTCTTAAACTACTCATTATAATTTTTTGAGTATTTTTTCTGTCTTTCAGATTTCCTCAAGCATCAGCTTCATATATTCTTCTACAGTTTGCCCAGTATGGAAACATATTAAAGCATGTGGTATGTCTTAGTTTGAGACTTATTTCTGAAATCATTGTGTCTTGTTCTTTAAAAAGCAAAATTTCACAATTTTCACTTAATCTCATTCAGATGTCCAACACAGGAAACTGGATGCATATTCGATATCAGTCTAAGCTTCAAGCCCGGAAAGCCTTAAGCAAAGATGGAAGAATTTTTGGTGAATCTATCATGATTGGTGTCAAGCCGTGTATAGATAAAGTAAGTTAACAGCTGCTTTTATTTAAATATAAGGCACTCTGCTTTTGGGCTTCCTCTTTATTCTCCCTGACCTCTTCAAATCTTTTCTTTTTGGATTAGAAAGCATAGGTAGTCAGTTATATAGGTATAGTCTGTTACAACTTATGTGAGTTTTTCTTAAGTATTTGACAAAATTTCCTTATGAGAAGGATCGTTATCGGAAATCTCCATGCTCCTTGGAAGTTACAATGCACAGAATTATATTGCTGTACAAGATACAAAGTGAAACTATAACCTAAGAGACAACTGAGATAAAGTTCCCCAGACCGAAATTTGTGGCATTTAGGGGCTGCAGTAGATACGTGGTTGTAGATTAAGACTGTTATTGCTCCTAATTGTCCCTCTTTTTCTGTGACTATTTATCCGATTCTGGCTTGTACATCAGACTGAAAATTTGTTAGCAAGACAGTCCTGATCCTATTCTTCCACCTGCCTCCACAAAAACCTGTCCTTTTCCTGTAAGTAGTGGTTGGGGTAGGCATGGCCTTATTTCAGTCTTAATTTTATCATGAGCTATTAGTTTCTAGGCATTGACAGTGCCCTGACCATTAATTCTTGCAGCACTTTGCATTGGGTACTGTACATTAGCTTAAGCAACTGACAGTCATTCTTTTATAGTTCACAGATTGATTTTTTTGGTCTCCTCTAAGGATAAGTGATGGTAAAGAGTAACGTAAGTTTTCAAATGTAAACCTTTCAGAGAAGGCAGCCCTAAAAATTGAGCCTGCAATTACTTTAATTTTTAGCAGTTTGAAACGTTTCTTACTTTTATTTCTGAATTTTAATCATTATATCTCAGTCCCCCTTTCCTCTGGGGTAGTTGCTTCCTGTCTCTTCCTACCTTATTTACTATTTTGGTGTCCAGTTCATATCAGTGACTAAATTGCCTATGAGCTGAAACTCTAGAAGTAATGATCGAAGACATTTGATTGTCAGGCATCTGATTTTTGTTGCTTTTGAATTCTTGTTATGTCTTTTTGAATAGTGTCCACTTTCAAATGTCAGTAAAGAAACCCATAATCACTAACTTGTATTTTTGGAGGGAAGAGAGATTTCTGGAGACTAATCCATTGAGGGTTTGGCATTAGCCTGTAAAACACTTCCTTGCAATTGAAAACTGGATCTGATGGATTTGCAATCAGTGCTTAGGCTTCTGATTTAAAAGTAGCAGTTAGTTCCATGGACTCCCCTTGTGTTGAGCAGAGTGCCAGCTGCCACCCACACTGTCCTAATCCTGTATTTTGGACAGCTGTCTCCTTCCAGATGTGCTTCTGAATTTTTGCTGTCTTTAGGCTGCTTGAATGCTGTGCTCCAGTGAGTCTCAATGCAGCAAATCGTGTCTCCCCAGGCTGGTTGTCATTTCCCATCTTGTTTTCTCTGGGTTTGTGTGGAACTCGTGGTTCCCATCAAGTCACTTGCTGCCTCTTCCATTCTACATGCATTCCTTTCTAAACATAAGTGTACAAAATGGAGCCTTCTGACTCCTTTTCTAGTATTTGCTAAGGGGACTGAGTAAAACTTGGCAAGTTGAATCTGAGCAAAAAGGTGCACGTTGGTAAACTTGCTTGGAGACTCTCCTGTATGGATCAGGTAAAATATTTTAGACTTGCTTAGGAAGAGGATGTTATGCTACTTAGTTCAACTAGGCCTGAAAAAAGTTACTACTTGAAGTTTGTTGCAAGTCTTACAATTTATTATCTTTATATTGTTTCAAACTTAGCTGACATCTAGTACATACAGTGAACAGATTATAAGCTTCCATTACTTTGCAATGGCATAATCCAACATATGAATGATTGCAGTGAGGAAAATGCTTGGTGGTGGTGTGTACTTGTGTGCTCTGTACTGACAGGCAATTTAGCTGTGGTCTTTGCTTATTTGGAGATGTGAACACATTTTATCAAACAATTCTAGATAATAAAGGTTGACATACTGCTTTTTAGTATGTGTTTATGTTATATTAACCCTCTTTTTAAGAGTGTGATGGAAAACTTTGAAAGAAGCTCTACATCCTCAATGTCTTCAGTTTTCACTCCACCTACAAAATCTGTTGGCACACCAGTACAACCCGCAAATAATACAAGGATTTCTACAATGAGACCTCTTGCAACGGCATATAAAGCTTCCACTAGTGACTATCAGGTATTTTAAAGGAAATGGAAGCATGTGTGTGTTTATGCTATCTTCCTTCAGCTGTATGAGGCTGTACACACGTTGACTGCAGTGTGATCTTGGTCGTTATCTTCTCCTGTCTTTTCTTTAAAGATGTGGTTCAAGTACAAACTCGGTCTGTTCAATCTCTAAAATAAGAATAATAAAAAATAATAAACTAATGACTTGTCACTTTTCCAGAGGTTAAGGGCTTGTTTTGAAAATATTTCAAACATATTTTGTCAAAATATAATAGCACTTAGGAAAAGAAAAAAACCTGGTTAATATAAAAAGTTAACTATATGTTGACTGATTCTTTCTATTTTCTCTTCCTCTTTCCCCTGCCTTCTAGGTGGTTTCTGACAGACAAACTCCTAGAAAAGATGAAAGTATTGTATCTAAAGCAATGGAATATGTGTTCGGCTGGTAATACACAAGAGGAAGTAACACACTAAGTTGGTCAGGGTTTTGAAATATGCTACTGGCATCCGTGGTTAGTTGTATAACTGCTGGTGGCAGTATTTTAACTTGCATCTCACCTGTTATGCCTTCAGTTAATTCAGCAGACATGTAGCTTGCACTTTAAATCACGGCAATGTATACACGGTTTTAAAAACTGAATAAGTGTAAATATAAGGTGTTTTCCCCATTTGTGCTCTGATTGCATGATTGTAGAAAAAATATCAGCACTGACTTTTTTCCTCTGTATTTACTTTCTGTGAATTACTTCCCAGTAACTTGGAAATGTTTAAAATGGCAGCTTTATTTACTGATGCCTTTAATTTTATTGGGGTTATTTTTTTCTGGAAAGATAATGGGCTACTTGCAGGAAGAACACTATGCACAGCTGGCTTCCGGGGATAGGGACTGTTCTTAGTATATGTGATTTTCTTTTTTTTTTTTTTTTAAACTAGGATTCATTTCTATTTTGTAGTTATCGCTGACATCATGTTCTAAATATCATAGTAACATTTTAAGTCATTTATTAATAAAGCTAAATAAAGTTAAGTTTTTCTTAGGTTGTTTTTTAAACAAGTATTAATTCTGTTAGGAAAAACTATTTGCAGTACTCTTAACTGTTAGGTGTGATGTGCCTAATGATTATTAAAGTGTTATCAGCAGAGCAGATGCTGCTGATTTTTACTGAAGTGGTACCAACTAGCTAATGTTTAAATGTTGTCTTCGTGGGTACTTCATAGCAGTGTGCACTTAACAGGTAACAAACTGTAGCATTCTAAGCTATAAAATGTTGAGCTGAAATAGCTCAGTAGAAAAATGCAATGTGTCAGTGACCAGAGCTGCTTTTGTTTCAAGACTCTTCTAAGAAATTTTCTCTAAGGTATTGGCTAAATGATGATTTTTTTTTTTTTTTTAATTGAACTTCCTGCCCTTGAAGTTTTCTTTTGGAGGTGAGCCTCTCAAGTAATCACATGTGTCATCTAAGCTCATAATCTTCAAGATAAAGGTCTCTCTCACCTGGGAAGAGAGCAATTTTTTTTCTCCAGTACTTGGGAAACTATACGCAACTACTAGTTTTTTGATTTTGATATTTTTTTTTGGCTGTGTAAGTGTGGGTCGACATCAGCATTTTAGTTTGTGTTGACAGTGTGTTGATCAGGTGAATATCCAGTCATACCCATTTCCATGCTTTCCTTCACACTGCAATGTGGGCTCAAAGTTCTTCAACTGCACTTCTCTGATGAATTTAGATTGAAAGATAAGTCCAGGAGCATGTCCCAATATCCCTCAGATGCTAGTGGGCATCCATTTTACAGGATTAAGTTAGAGATAGTCCTGAGTAAAATCCGCAAAGCACTTGGTGAGAAGTCAGGTTTCTACCTCAGGGCACTTTGTGCTTCATTTTATGCTTTAGAAGTAACGTATGAGCAGGCAGATTCAGAGATTTTTGAGATGCATTTTAGTGTGTGTGCTGGCTGATGCTTTTGGAATGTTGTTTGCTGCTCATCCATTTGCTTTTGATAAAGGGAGCTGCTCAAACCTAATTAATATCTGAATGTGTTTTCTCAGAAGACATCTGGCTTTTCCTTGGTGAAAAATATTTGTCGTGTGAATGACTTCAAAAAGAAAATAGGTAGTTCAGCTAAATTCTTGTTTTACTAGTTGCTTTGCAAAATACACTTCTGGTACGCTTCAGACTTGTAATGATGTGTATAGGTTTTAGTTTAGTGAAATGACGAAGAATAAGATTGAACTCTGATCAAGTTAAGTCTGAAGCTAAATACATAAGGAAGGAGTTGGAGCCAAAGTCAGTAGTTTGGCTGACCTATTTTGCCAGTAAGTACCAGATTTAACACTGTGCTAAGCTGGGTTTTTTTTCCCAGTTGTTTACCTTAGTCATTTGTTTCTCATAGCTTTAGCAATGATTTTACTAGTGGGCCATTACAGGTTGGGAGGAGAAGGAAGTTTAGAATATATAAATCTGTGTGCTTCTGGACAGTATCGTTAAAATTTATCAGATGTCTTAGTTGAAGTGCTTTATTACTAAAAGAAGAAAGGGCAAAGGTGAGCTTACTGAATATCTTAATTCAGGAGTAATTCAGACTTCTAAATATAGCTTTAATGAAATTATTCTTAAACTGTATTTAAAATCTTACCAGTGTTTGCTCATCTCCATTTTGAGATGGATAAATTGACTGAATGATATTTTAGCAGAATATACCACAAAATCAATTTTGAATTAACACAATTACCTTTTTTCTGATAGTTGGAGTACGTGTGTAAAAATACCAGACTTGGATCAGTTTTCTATAGTTTGACTGTAGATGACTAGACCACAGATGGGTCTGCAAAAGTGTACTGCTTAAATATGTTTAGAAATAGTAGGCTGTTCAGTTGTGAAGTGAGTGAAACCAAACTGGCTTACAAACAACTCGTAATCTGGAGTTGGTTGCCTGAAGTTCAGACTGCAGGTGAGAAGGCGCTGGAATGAACATTAGAAAGATCGCTAGTAAAGGCCTCAGGCCAGCTTCATGGCTTTGTGGTAATGCTGCCTTTTTTTAATTGCTTGGACAAGAGGAAGAGGTGTTCTTTTGATGTGGTGTGTCTCTCAATAAGTATCAAAGTGCAAACAGTACTGACTGTCAAACTTGTGTTATTGTCTATAAATGTGAGTTCAGTTGGTGAAGTTATCTTTAAAAATGAATGCATAATTATTAACTTTATAAAGTGTTTTTGGCCTTCTGTTAAGGAATCCTTTGACTCAAGTACATTTGTGTAATGCATATAAACTGTGCTTCTATCAACAAAGTCAGATTTTCTGCTTTTCTGGAAGTAAAGCTCATGTTGAAATCAAGAGCATGTCTGAAAAGCTGTAAATTCTTATGTTCTATGTAATGTCATCAAATATCTTAATTCTTCAAGTTCTTCAGTTTTATAAGGGAACTTTCAGCTTGAATCAAGAGTTTATTGCTGATGTAAGCAGATACAGTTAAAATGACAGCAAAATTCTGGTCTCTGTAGATGAAGTGCTGTTTTTTGTTTATTACAGTACTTTTGTGTGTGAAGTTGGAGACTGTTCTGATTAGAAACAGCATGAAAGTAAGGAATTGCTTTTAACAGTCATTGTTTTATTTTGCTCAGTTGTTTATCGCATCAGATTTTGGTATAGTTTACTGCAGAAATCATTGTAGGGATGAATTGGATTTTTAATATGAAAAACAGAGAACTTTCCAGGGATTTTTTCCTTTCTATTGTGTATGTCAGCTACCTAATTAGCATCTTGTTTAGCTGCCTTTGGAGCCCTGTGTGTTCTGTGAATATCTGTCCCCTGTTGCAGAATGAAGTTCCAAAAATGCTGTTTTCTTTTTGAAGGATCTCTCCAGCCCCCTGGTGTTAAGAAGGTAACCTTGAATACATGAAGCAAAGATAACCTGATAAATGGATGTCTGTGGAGATCTTGGAAATGCCAGTTCTGTAGTGTGGATTGTCTAGTTGTTATTAATAGGCTGTTTTGAAACATGAAGATAGTCCAAAACTGGTTATCGGGTAAAGTGCTGTAGCTGAATATTTTGGTTAAAACCCAAACTGGGGTGTTTTTTTGAGCGCTAGTATGCTAACTGATAGTTATTCTTTTGCCAAAACTCCCATTTCATCCTGGCAACTAAAGTGTAAAGGCTTGAAAGAATCATGGTTGCAATGCTGGCTGTCATGACATAAAGCACAGTAAAATAAGTTTATTAAGCCGTTTAGATCTTTTAATATATTAATAACATACATCATTAATTCAGCTAGTGTCAGTTTCCAGTCTTCTGCTCAAAAATGCTCAGCAATCTAGCTGACTGCAACAGCAGTCAGACCTTACTTCCGTGAAGTCATAAAACTGTAATGAAACTCCCTCTTTATTAAAAAAAAAGTCTTCACTGCAAAGTAACCAGCTTTTCTCGCACAATGTGCTTTCTCAGCTGGCAAGTACTTTGACCTACTCGGCTTTCTCACTGAGTGCTCTTAGCTGTCTTTTGCAAATTTGATTTGTTTACTGTGTAGGATTGTACCAGTGGATAAGATAATGCTCCTGACTTCAGTGAAATTGAGCTAAAGCCTGCAATATTTCCAAGCATGCAATATGATAGCATGTAGTATCACATTTCAATAGGTGAAACACAGTTAAAATTGTCCATCATAGGGTACTATAATGGGCTATTGATTTTTAGGTGCCACAGTTTCTCTTTCTTTGTAATTGAACTGTGCTTGTGACATATGAAAATGTTTGTTTGCAGATTGAAGGTCATAAAGTAAAAATTGCAGAGCTCAACCTTGTATGCAGGCTAGAGAACACTCTAATATTAATTACATTATTTTTTCAAGATGACTGCATTAATAATGGAGCTTGCATATATATTGAATAGTATAGGCTTTGTTCTTGCTAATGGTAAATTGAAAAAAAAAAAGACATTAATTATTGTTCCTATGCATTTATTTAGACTTGCCAGCTTTTCAGTTTCTAGCAAATGCGGTGGCTCTTCAGAATGAGAAATAGCAAACAGCTTTAGCTCCAGCTAAATTGTAGGAATGGAATGGGATGAATGTACATCTTGACTTAAATGCTTTCAGCATCTTCCTAAAAATTAACTTAATGTTGTCCACAGATACCTGCATAATTAAGAATTTAAAATGTACTTTTAATTATTTTCTTATGGAGACAACTAGCCTAATAGACAATGATTAGCTGCAATATTAGTCTTTTAATGGAGTAGGTGATGGTAATGACAGTCTTTTTAGCTTTGACCATTTAGTCCCTGCTGAGCATCTTACTAGTTTAGTCTTGAAACGTTTATTTCCAGCTCTATGTAGAGTTGCCACTGGAAAAGGTCCTGGAAGACACAGAATCATAGGATATCTCAAGTTGGAAGGGACCCATAAGGATCATCAGGTCCCAACTCCCAGCACTACAACTATGGCACTAGTACAAGTTATAACTTAGTGGTGGCAGCTGGCATTCTGTGCCCCAGGAGATGAAAACAGGTTTATTTGGATGAATTAAAGCTGTAATAGCATATAAAAATGTGATGCAGGAGCAGCTGCATAGCTTCTTTATTAATAAAAGACTTTTATGGCATCTGACTCTAGATGGGCATATAATTAACCTTGAGCAATATTATGTGTGTATACCAGTTATTCAAAGTATCATCGATGGAATACATGATGTGACAAAGACTAGGTCAAGTATAATTATTTATTCAAAAACGCAGAACAAAATTTGTAAGGCATGAAGATTACTCTGACCAAGTGATTGGGAAACTTTCCTACTGTACAAATATTTATCATGAAATTAATGTAAAATTCAACAGCTATTGGAAGCTCATGTTCTGATATCTTCTGCCATTTCAGAAGAGTATAAACTGACTTAAATTTAATGTTGACACACAGCTATAACAATGGTGCACTTAACTGAACCTTAACACCTTGCATGAAAAAAAACAAGGTTACATTTGTCATTTGCTTTCAGACTTATTCTACCGTGAAGAGAGTAAGAAATATGGGTTAGTAGCATTTTTGCAGTATCTTCCTCTGCCCTTTTTTTGTACAATTAAAGTAGCATGATAAAAATTGCCACCTCTGTTTCTGAAAAAACTGGCACCTCTGCACTGTTAAGTGGGAAGCACATGAAGTATGGTTGACATATCAATGTTGTAAATGCTTGTAGTGAAAGAAAAGCAGTGTTTTCTTTACCTAGCATGTTTTTGATTGGCATTCTGTGCCAGGTCTTTATTTGCTGAATGAAGGATTTCTTTTTAACAGCTAGTAGTGATTTTGTGTATCATTCTATGACCATCTGGAATTGCTGGCATTTGAGTCCCTGTAGGATGGACTGGGAACAGCTACGCACATAGTTTGTATGAACTCTTTGGGCTGGAAAAAAATTCTGTGTAGGGATTTGGTGCCACAATCTCTGTGTTAGGTTCTGTTACATTTTTCTGTCTCGTCTCAAAAATTCCGCATTGTGAATTGGGAGAGGTTGGTTCCACTGAAAGTTGTGCCAGCTTTGTTACAGAAGTGAAAGAAATGAGATGATGCCAGCTGTTGTTCAGACATAAAAGCACTATTTCTCTCCTAAAGAGAAGGAGGTACACTGAAGCTCTACAAACTTCCTTCCAGAAGTATTGCTGCACCAGTATGTTAGCCTACTGAAATTTGAGCTACCAAGTGTAAATAACATCTGGCAGTCACTGTGTTAGCTTCAGGTCAAATATTGTTACTGAACATGAATGGTGCTCCCCATAAGATCATGAATTTTTCCTCTAATTCTGTCTCTGTAAATGTTATATTGTGGTAAACTTGTACAATAATTTACAGATGTAATCTGAAAGAAATTTTTTTCACAATGCTTGCAAGGCAGAAAAAACCTGAAGATGTAGTTTGATGGCAGGAAGGAGTTCTTGCAGATATATTATTAAAAACCTGAGGAACACTACCACAAAAATTGGTCAATAGGAGTAGAAAACTATTATTCTTAAAAAAAACCCCACCAAAATCCCAAACAAACCAAAACCCAAAATAAAACCTCAAACTGACCAAACCCTGAAACTTCTTTATTGCAAGTTGTGTGTATAGGCTTTGATTTTTGGGTAGGACTAATCATTGACTGGATCATTTTCCATTAACTGCATTTAAAATTCCAGTCACAGAGTATATTGTAATTGTTCTCTGAAGCCCCTAAGAGCCAAAAAATCATTTTACTTCAGCTGTAAATCCAATTATTCTCTTCTGAAGTCTTACAGTATTGTATTTCATATTCTGTGTTTTTAATCATAAGAATGTTTTCTCAAACTTTTGTCTCCTAAAGTCAGTGGGAATCTTAAAAACCGGAATCTCCAGCTGTGTAATGACAGGACTTAAATAGCTGGTGAGTTTGACGGTGTGTTAAATGAATTGTGGGTATATCTTATTATTT